AAAACCTATAATAAAAAATCAATAACTCCTAAATTCAAAACGAAAAAAACTCTGAAAATTGTCTCTGGAAATTAACTCTGGAAAGAAACTCTGAAAACTCTGTTAAGAAACTCTGGAACCCTGAAAACCTGCAAGTAGACTGCTGCACCATTCAAGATGCAACTGATGTTTGTGGCCCGCGCTCTGTATCTTATACCCCAGTCCCCACTATACTCACCTCCCCACTGCGCAACTCTCCACTACTCCACAGGCGCACGCAACTCTCCTACCACAATGTAGTAAACGCCGACTACCAGGATAACTTGAAGATAACATAACCCAAGTGGATCATCGGTCGGTAATGCAGAACTCTGATATATCAACCGACCAAAATTTGTGGAAGAAATCTGTATTACCGACTGATGGCAATGCTTACTATCGGTCGGTAACTTACCTACAGCCATCTCTCGGTGGCAGCCAGAACTCAGATGTCGGTAAAACAGAACATCCCTTCTATCCCACTTGAAAGTTTAAAAATAAAAATTCAAATACCCCTCTAAGGGGGTTTAAATTGAGCGGTGGCGCCATCTAGCGGTGGCAGCCGGTAAAGTAGAACACCCCTTCTAACCTATCTGAAAGTGAGCTATTAGGAAATCTACCTTACCGACGTCGGTAACTGGCCCAGAACCTGTGTAGCTCTACTACTACAGTAGTATTTTGGAATTCACAAAAATTCAAAAATTAAAGAAATATTAAAACGGAATTGATTGGAATTCACTTTCAAGAAATCTTTGCCTCAAAAAGGAATACATAGGAATTGGACAGAAACGGAATTCAAAAAAATTGATAATTTAACAATTTCTGTAAAAAGTTAGAAATGTCCAATTCTTCTCAATTCCTTACTTCTTACTGGGTGCTCTGATCTCCTAACTCCGACACTTTTCTATTGTTGTGTGGCTGTGTGATATAAACGTTTTAAAATAGAAAAAACAACGATTTGATTAGGCTGAATTTTTAATTTGAAAATTTATACATATATAATATATATAATAATAATAGTGTCTACCTCTGGTTTAAATCATAGTCATAGTTGTTCCTGCTCTCACTAATAAGTATAGATATTTATTATATCTGAAATATGGTAAATTGCAATCATTATGTTTCGTACATTTCAATTCTGCTGTGGAAAGATGTAACCTTTCAAACATAAATTTGTATACAGAGAAAAAAAATTTCTAATGGATACTGTAGAATGCTTTCTGTGGGTTTCAATTATTTAGTGTTTTAATGAAAATCACATAATAGTTGTAATTAAATACATAAAATGATATTTGTCTATTTTACAATTTTACATTTTATTTTCATTTGCAACAAAATAAGAAGTTCAATTGCGAAACAATATTTGAAAAATGTTGCACAGTAAAAAGAAAATTTTTAATTTAAAATCAGTCTTAAATGTAACACTGTCTAATTGCATGTAAAATTCATTGCGTAAATTCAACATTCGCTGCTTTAAAAATGTTCCATCTTAATTTAAGATTTTATTACTGCCTTAAAATAAGACTTGCTTTTTACTGTGTAATAATAATTATTTTTGTTTAAATAATATTTATTTTAATCAAATAAAAATATTTACTTGATAATTAGTTTCTATTAATAATAGTCCAAAAAATAATTTTTTTAACTGAACAATTTTTTTCTTTGTTTTTAATTCAATTTAACAAAAAGAATTTTAAAATATCCATTATATTTTATCCTTGTAAGGAAAATATTTATATAGTAATTTTTTGTTTTAAAGCTGTTCAAACATGGGTTCAATTTTATTTCCATAAAAGTAAATAAAATCAGAAAATCTTGTATCTTCAAGTTTTTACTATAGTTATTTTTAAACTGAAATTTTGTAACTTTAATAGTATAACATGTTTTTATGCTATTAACAAAATACCACAATTATCATCATTGTAATTATAACCATTAAGATGACTTGACTTTGAGCGAACGTTCATCTCAATGTTTATAAATTAACTAAGAAGACCAAGTGACAAAATCAAATATTTATTACCATCATTGTAAGTTAGTTTTAAATAATTTGAAAGGTTAATGACATCAGTGAAAGATCATTTAAGAAGATGTCCAAGTCCATGCAAGTTCTGTGTAAAAATAACATGGACTTTGATTCCCCTTTAAGGAAATGTATATATTTGGTACCAATTACTTTTAAATTTTACAGGCCTCAAAAATTTTACAAATATAATATTGTTTCAACAGCCTTAAAATTATTTCCTTATAATCTAACAAGAATTATATAACTGAATTGTAACAAGTTTTTGAACAAATACTAAAATATATATTTGACAATAATTTAAGTTGGAATACTATACAATAAGTTTTGTTTTATCCAATTATCACAAAAGTTTGCTTTATTAATCAAAGTTTGCTTATACGATATATTCTTCATGTGAACCTCAAATAATAAAGGTTCGATAAAAACTTAAAAAAAGAAAATTTTAAGATCGTTTCGCGTCTTTTAATGTACTTTATAGTAACTTTTTTCTAAAAAAAATTAAAGAAATATTTAATGCAATTGAGAATAGATTCTTGACTTACTTGTTGTAATAAAAAAATATGAATAATTTGGATATATTCTTTTTTCAAATAAGTGGTTAAGAAAGTAAATTTCTGTGTTATTTGAATAAAAAAGACATAATTCGTGAAATAATTTACTTTTCCGAACGAAATATAGAAAAAAGTGGATTTGTAAGCATGTCAAATATTCAGTTAAATAAACGGAAATTTATACAAATGGATGGCCTAGAAATGGACGCCATTTTTATATAAGTTGAATAAATGGATAACTATTCGCTGTCACTGAAATTACTTCCCTGGATAAAATCAACAAGTTTTTGAGTTTGAAGTAAACAATATCTTAAGTACCTAATACAGGACTAAAGTCATTCTAATTGGTTCAGGTCAATTTTCAGGACACTCTCGACTGTCGCTCGTGCCACAAAAAAATAATAAGTCCGTGGGTGATGGCCGTAGTTTTTTTTAAGGATTCTAAAAAATTTTTAAATGTGATTTTTATCTATAAACTTTTATTGGTTTTCTTTTGGTCGCATTTTGAACATTTATCGTGGAATTCAGTGCAGTTTTTATGTAAGCGAAATGGCAAATACTATGTACTGATTCCAACCTTTAATTATTACTGTAACTTTTTGAAAATTACTTTCATCACCTCAATTCAATTATTGTTTTCCAGAATTTTTAACTAAAATTCTTCATTAAATTAATTATTTTTAATAATTTTGGAAATATTTCTTTGAAAATTTTTAAATCCTTTTGTTTACAATTCAATTTTACGAAATTTCATCGATTATTCAGAAATTCTTTAATCAAATATATATATTAGAAAATAAATACTTCAAATAAGTTAAAAAAAATTTAATTAAACTTTTTCAAAAAAATTAAATCTATAAAATTGAATTAGTAAAAATGTTTACTAATTGGAATTAGTGACTGACTACTTGCTTTTGAATTAGTAAATTTTACTATTAAATTAGTAGAAACGACTATTTATTTAGGAATAATTTATTGAAGAATTGAATGGATTTTAAAATTGAACTCTCATTTAAAGAATTTTATCAACAAATTTTTAAATAGATAATTAAAATTCTTTTGATGAATTTTAATAACATTTTTATTCATTTTTCAAGAAATTAGATTAAAATTGTATTAAAAATAATTGAATCTCTGTAAAAAATTTGATTGACATGAGAAAAGTTTTTGAAAATAATTGAAATTTTGCCAAGAATTTTATTAAAATTTTTGAAAATAATTGAAATTTTGACAAGAATTTTATTAAAATTTTTGAAAATAATTGAACTTTTGAGAAAAATTTTATTATTTATAAAGATAATTCAAATTTGACCATAATTTTTTTTAAATTTTGACTATAATTGAATTTCAGCGAAGAATTTTATTACTTTTGAAAATAATTGAATATTTCTTTTAACAGAATTGTTAGTTAAAACTATGAAAAATTCAGGTTTTCAAATATTTTAATTTGAAACATTTTCAAAATTCAATTATTTCCATAAATTATTTCTATTTCACGCTATGATGCTTTTAATATTTAATTATAATAAAAAATTTTAACTGAAATTCGGTTTTAAATCAATTTTTATTAGAAAATTCTACGAGAATTCAATTATTTAAATATAAAAATAAATAATTTATTGAATAATTGAATGTTTCTTAAAATTGAACTCTCATAAAGAATTTTATAAAAAAAATTTTAAATAGTTAAAATTGTTTTGACGAATTTTAATAAAATTTTTAAGAATAATATTAATTTTCATGAAATTAGAAAAAAATTGTATTAAAAATAATTGAATCTCTGTAAAAAATTTTATTGAATTGTGAAAAGTAATAATTTTTTGAAAATAATTGAAATTTTGACAAGAATTTGTTTAAACTTTTGACCATAATTGAATTTTTGGGAAGAATTTTATTATTTTTGAAAGTAATTGAATTCTTCAGACGAATTTTTATAATATATTTCTAATTGAATTCTTTAGTGAAATTTTATTGAAATAGTAGATGTTAAAAATAAATGAATTTTGATAAATTATTGAAATTAATTAAATTTCTACTCGAAGAATTTTATTACAATTATTTTGAAAAAAATTGAATTGTTAAATAGAATTTTATTAAAATTTTTGAAAATAATTTAATTTTTTTAAGAGATTTATGTAAAAATGTATTGACAACAATACTTAAATTCTAATAAATCAATTATAGGAAGACTTTTTAAAATAATTTAATTTCTTTGGTGAATTTTAATTACAAATTTTCAAAATAATTACATTTTTCGAGAAATTTCATTAAAATTGTATTAAAAATAATTGAAATTCTGCGATGAGTTTTTTATTTATGAAAATAATTGAAAACCTATATATAGTAGAATTTTATTACTTATGAAAATAATTGAATTCCTGGTAAAAAATGTTATTCTTCATGAAAATAAGTGAATTATTGCGAAGAAATTTATAAAAAATTTGTAAATAATAGAATTCCTGGGAAATTTTTATTATTTAATTCATTCATTCAAATTCCTGCAAATTCTGTAAAATTTTCTAATTGGCCATCTCCCTCGGACTTACCCTAAATAAATAGCTGACTTTTGTCTTTTGCATTATAATATACTACTATTTTTAAAAAATTATTACACACATTTTTTTGTCAGATGCAATACAATGATTATTAAAATAATAAAACTAAAAATATTGTTTTGATAATATAAAATAAAATATTTTAAACTTTTTCGTAAAGCTTAACATAAGTATTTTTTTTTACAATTTTGGTTTGACAATTTTTTTCATTGTAGTCTTCATTGGCTTTACAATTACTTGTATCTGAATAAATGGAAAAATAAAATTATTTACAATTTTTAAAATAAGTCATTTGTATAAATTTCGCGTCCTGTTTAAAAAATGCGATACAATTTAAAAAGAATGCACATTTTTTCTGCTTGGTTTTTACAATTCTATTACATTCAGTAAGCCTTTAGAAAAAATAATGTCTTTAATAAATTTATAATTTTGTTTTGCACATTAAATGACATTTATGTATAATTTCCTTAAAGAACATGTATATCTATATACAATATTTTTTAGTGCAAAATTTAAAACCAAATACAATTGAAACATTTACATTTTTTACATGTGCTTTGTTATCCAAGATTCAAATAAATATTTACAAGAGTAATTATGAATTTTTTTTGTAAAATTAGAATATATATTATTGATGCGATAGTAATAATAAAAAAACGATAAAATGTTCTAATTTTACAAAATATATTCGGAAACTTTTTCGATGCAGCTTTAATAAGAGAAAACTCATTTTGTCGACAATTCGTTGATAATATCTGACAAGTAAACAGTTAACTCTTTCCACCACAAAATTATTCACAAAATTGTTCGATGAACGCATGTACAGAATACGTCCACCAAATTCTTGAAATGCATGACGCATACATGTACAATAATTATAGCAATATGAAGAAATACTATGTTTCCTCTGCAATTATTGTTCCGATTCACCTTTGTTCATATATTCCCATATATAGAGATCTACTTGAATAAACTGTTTTAAATAACTTTCAAACAAACTTACATTTGACGTATACTATACATGCATTTTATTTATTAGAGACACGTCCCACTCGCATTAATCGAACGCTTCATTTTTTATGGACCTTATTATTGAGTACAAAATTACAAATAGAGGAAAGGGAATAAGGATTGTCCTTTGACTGGGTAAGCCTTGTTCAACATACAAGTTGCGCGAAAAATCACAATTTTTCAAGTCTTAAATTGTCCTTGTTTGTACCATTTGGATTATTCGATAAGCATAGTAATACTTCTTCATAATATTACTCATTTCTTTTTTACATTATGCCCAATTAACATTTGTTAATTTCCAATGGTGCAAGAACATTAGCAGGTAAGGTCCGATAGCCGATCACTGTAGATCCGAAGGAAGATCTGCAGTTCTCGGTTCACCATTCTCACCAACAAAACACAGACAACTCCTTTCCATGCTCACTACTATGCCTCCAAGTCGTGACAGCTTGGGCCTTCATCTGAAAATCAAATGAATTAAAATTTTATTAAGAATAACATAATAAATTTTAAATGAAAATTATTTTGTGCTCATCATGGCTCGAAGCAGTGAAAGTATTTAAAAATACGGATTTTACGGACCAATTACTGACAAAAATATAACAAGTTACAGTCAAATAAGAGAACATTAAATTAAAACTATAAATTAAATTTTTCATAACTATAAAACATGAAGATATCGATAACTCCGAGTCTTCGACTCGGAGTAATCGATTTCTTCATGTTTCATAATAATTAAATATGGCCGAGTGATAAAATCATTATCAATTCAATTATTATTTTCAACAATTTTTAACTAAAATTCTTCTTTAAATCGATTATGTTTAATAATTTTCGAAAAAGTTATTTATTTATTTTCGAGTTATTTGACAAGTGTCATCCAAATCATAAGACTATTTGTCTTCTTCGGTCCAATGACACCGAATTTATAATTATTTTAAAGACCGATAGTCGCAGTAGCTATTAGGCTAACACCTAGCACGATAAATTATGAATTGGGGAAACAATTACACTGAAAAAAGGGAGTTAAATGTTAACTTCCCAGGAGATTCTATAAAAGTCGCACCCATTTGGGAATTAAAGCGAAGGGAGTTAAAATTCAAACAGTAAAAATAAGAATTAACTCTAAAAAGGAGTTAATTTAATAATGAACTCCCTTTTGGAGTTGATTTTTAACTCGAAAAATTCCTCTCCCAACTCCAGTGACCGTCAACTCCCTAAATTTTTTACAGTGCAGAAAATGGCAAATTTAAAGAAAAGTAAGAAAATGATACGGATCGTTACAGATTTTCGCCTTTCTTTTTTCATATAGTAAAAATAACAGATGAAAATTGTTATTTTTATGACTTTTGTAGTTAAAATTACTGTTTCTTACCACCAGAGAAATAAATTATCGAAAATTAGTAACAAATTGTTCTTTGAACTGCATAAATATTAAAAATATAATATTAAAATAAAATATGAAAATATAATATTAAAAACAATTTAAAACAATTGATTTTACAATATGAAAACAGTAAATATATTTATTCCTCTGCAACTATTTGTAAATGGTTCTTTTGACTACATATAAATCGTAAAATAATTTCCACCAGTTGTTTTTACTATGAAGGAGTTTACACCGTAAGCCTTAAATATAAGCCTCCGCGAGCATAAACGGATATGCCTCCATGAGGATATACTTGCGTCTGCGCAAAGTGTTTGCCTGCAGCTGTGTTGTGAAAGAGTTTGCCTTGACCACGTGTTCGCGCAGGCGCAAATATATGCTCCTGGAGATGTTTAGTCCAATACTCCAGTTTTCTCAGTGTATAGTGGGTACCCGTGTACCCCGGGTGCACAGTGGGCCAGGATCGTCGAATTTTGGCCAAAAATACAATTTTTCAACTTTCAAATATGCACAAAAGAATTTATCCACAGTATTTAATAGTAAATAAGGAATCTATTCCAAAAAGGATTTGTTAAATAATAAAAAATTGTGTCTTCTAGAACTATTTAAAGTTTAACATTTAAGATAAAATAATAAAATGTTTTTGATTGAAATACTTAATATATTTAGAAATAAATTAATTATTTTTGTATAAGTACTTATTTTTTCTCATCAACAGATATATTAAAGTAAAAAAACCAATAGTTACTTTAAAAAAATAAAATTTATTAAAATGTAGCTCCATTGAAGTTAACAAATAGTGGATTTTTCAATAGAGTGTCGACTTTCAGTTAGTCGAGCTCCTCTGAGCCGCATAATATTTGGAAAAACAAGTTATAGAACGATTGCTTAGCATGTCTACTTTAACGCCAATATGTGCCATTTTGCGCCTTTTCATATTTTTTCAACATAACAAGAATATTGCAATAAACATATAAAAATATATATGCAATAAATATATAAAGACAATTTTCAAAATTAATCAATTATGATGAACAGTGGTATTTAACGGTTTTTTGTGTCGCTGATTACGAATCTGATGTCAGATTTCAAAAATTCAAAATGGCGGACATAAAAATTTTAAAATCAATAAATTTGAATTAAACATAGGTATCCATTGGTTTTTTGCATAGAGTTATTAGAATAGAGTGCGCGAGTTATACCTTTTACCGTGAGAGTCATTCTTAGGCGATGAGTATAAATTGAAAGCAGGTAAACTTAACATAAAATACCATTTTTCCTGCTAAAAATGTTTTTAAATTTTTTATTCTTTTGTCACGTAAATAAAAGAAAAATATAATTGCCAGCAAGCAAGCAACAGTTGTTTCGATGCATCAGCTGTTTTACTATCGCGCATGCGTTATTAGAGAAAGAAAAAAAGGGGTCTACTTTTCGTATGGCTGTCTCCGTCAATGCGCCTAAGAAACATTTTGGTCGCTTGCGCACTCTATTCTAATAACTCTATGGTTTTTTGGATCGCTGATTACGAATCTGAAAATCTGAAATCTGTCAGATTTCAAAAAATCAAAATGGCGGTCATAAAATTTTTTTTAATTAATCAATTTTAATGAAACATAGGTATGTAGAGGTTTTTCGGGTTGCTGATTACGAATCTGTTGTCAGATTTTAAAAATGTAAAAATGAGCACTGTGTTTCTGAAATCAGATTTAGATATGAAATGGAGTGTTTACCTGATCCATGGAAATAAAAGCAGATTCTCCAATAGGACTACATGCGCACCTGATATACCCACGCGATAAAATATATACCTATAAGTAAACATCAGGTGTAAAAAAAATCAAAAAAACTAAAAAAATTTTTAAAATCTAAAAAAAATACAAAACGGGATCATTACCTATAACCTCCTCGTGGTAGATCCTGGAAACTACAGTACGTTTTATTTTTGTAGGCTAATAACAGAAATTTTTTTTTTATTTTCTGAATTGTATAGACACTAGTTTTGTAATCACCAAACTTAAAAACTCCCAAGCCAAAAATTGTAGGCGAATATCACCCAATCTAAAAACCACTTGAATTCTTACATCAGATTCGTAATCAGCGACCTAAAAACCCCCTAGATACAAAGTTTCATAAAAATCGATTAATTTTAAAAATTGTATGTCTGCCATATTGGATCCGCCATTTTGAATTTTTGAAATCTGACTTCAGATTCGTAATCAGCGACCCAAAAAACTGTAGGTAGCATACTTGTTATTCGTAAATATCTAGTTTTTTTTAAATAATGATTTTTGGCCAAAAATCGACAATCCTGGCCCACTGTGGGGTGTGAGAGCTTGGAAATAATTTAGATAATACAAATTTCTTGATTGATATTTGTTAAAAATGAGCTAATTGTATAAATAGATTATTATGTAAACATACTCAATATAATATAAATGAGTATTCCTAATAAGTCATTCTCGGAATAGAATAATTATACAGATATTAAAATTATTTTTCCCAAAAAAATAAAAAAATGTTTTTTTCATTTTAAAAGTTAAAGCGTCAACACAAAAGAAAAATATAAAATATTATATTATTTTTATTATCAAAATACGATATCAAGAAAAAAATGCACAATAGTCTAGATTAATAAAAATTTGTTTGAATTAATTAAAAAATAAAAATAATATAAAATATTTTAAGTTAGACGAATATCTGTGTGAATTTAAGATCACTTGAACGAAAAATTTGCAAAAATGAATTAACATAATCTTTGATAAACTATCAAGTAAAGTAAACTCTTGAATTATTTTATTTAGTTAATTTTAACACAACCTATTTTTTTAAATTTATAGGAAAGGAATTTATCATTCGGTATTAATTTATATTAAAGGATAGATTGTTAACTTCTTCCTTTAATATATTTTTTGAAAGTAGGTGTTAAAGAAGAGAAGCATAATAAAGCATGACTTGGTATAGTTTATAATGAAAGATGGCTGCTGGTAGTGGCTGGCAGACTGCAATTTCTAGGATGTGGTCTCTTTACGGCGAGTTCGGTAAAGAGGGTACTGGCGGGAAGTGTTCAGCCATTCAGAGTCAATGCTGTGGGGGTGCGGAGAATCTGGTGTAGAATTGTGACGGCGCGCGTACGAGCTTGGAGGGGAATACTACAGATACTGCGCTAGCGTACTATGAGTTGTACTCCAACACAAGTGCACATGCAGGCGACGCGACATAACAGCGACTAGTTGTATTTTCAGCTGATTGCAAGTATGTGAAGTATGCAATCACTTACACGCATCATACTTCTTGTTCTTTAAGTGCTCTGACCTTTAGTGCCTTTAGTAAATTGTAACATCACATACAAATGGATGTTTAAGTTCTTTCATAATAATCAATCTAACGTTTTTTCTCGAACATACTAATTTTCGTTTTTACATTGTCAAATTCTTGCAATCTTAAAAAACCTGAAGTTTATTTCTGATATTTTTCCCGCTTAGTATACCATCAAATTAATAAGATTCTTAATGTTTAGAAATGAGTGCAGTTTAGGCCTATAGTGTAACGCCCTGTAACGATTACATTATAAGTAAAATTTCTATATTTTGCATAGAAATATTTTCAACAAAATATCTAACTTAAACAAGATAATTGTAAGTCCAAAAATCAATCAAAATTCTAATTTTGAATCTTAATCTTAGAATATACTATCTTTGTCTCCACACACAAATAAAGATTTCTTGAAACTTTGTTATTTTAGTCTATAACGCCAAAATGAAAATAAAAACCCATTAAGCTGTTTAATTATTTTTTTAATTTAATTATTTTTTTTGTTAATAATTGCAATTGTTAAATTAATTACTATAAACAATCGTATTATGTAAAAATTTAAGAATTTTGTCATTTCTGTAGAATTGGAGTTGGAAGGGGAGAAGAAGTTAAGGAAGGAAAAGTCTGAACCCCCTTTTTTAAGTTCATTTAAGTTTTAAAAGAATATCTTTTCAAGTTTTCAATTTTCTAAATTTAAATTTTAAAGTCAAAACAACAAATTCAAACTTCAACTTCGTTCCAACTTCAACATTGACTTCAACTGTGAATCATCTTCGATAAACAAATATTATAAAAAGTCAGTAAAATTTAAATTGTTGTCTTTTTCTTTTAAACTATTCTGTCTACAATCTTATCAAAATTTCCCAATTCCGGAAAAATTGTACTCTTTTAATATTTGTACAAATTTGTTCCAAACTTCTTATTTTGATTCCTAAATTATTTAACCTATGAATCCGAGATTAAGTATTGAAACATTTATTTGTTTAAAAAAGATCTCATTCCTTTAAACTCAATATTCCTTATTTAAATTGAACCAAAGAAATAAGAAAATAATAGAATGTGTTCCTAAGCTATTGGATGTGCAAATTCAGACTTAAAAATAATTTGTTAGGGTCAAACCATTTTATTTCGCCTAATGTATTTTTGATCTTTATAAAAAATTTCAATATTTCGGGAAAATATTCTTATATGTTTTGGGATTACGAAATGCACAATGATTTGTAAAAAATAATTTCATTTCATATAAAAAAAGATATTATAAATTGAGAGTACATGAAAAAAGGTTACATTGACAGGCATTACAAAATATTTAAAAAAGGTGTAATCTCTTTAAGAAATATAAAAAAAGCGATTGATATTTATTTTTAAAGACTTAATTTGTGATTTGAACTTGATAAAAGTATCAAATAATTTATAATAAACTGTAAAATATGTTATTTAAGTTTCTGTATGAAATGTCAAAAATCGATCATATTTAATAATTTTTTTTGACAAAGTAATTTAATTTTCGTAAATCAGAATTATTTAAATAATAAGTATTTTAAATACACTTTATTATTATTTAAATACTTTTTTGATTATCAACTGAGAAATATAAAAAAATTTACCTTAAAAATAAACCATTCTTCATTTTATCGGGATTTTGAATGTTTGTAACTTCGTTGGAGAAAACCCGATTTATGCCAAATTTTTGGAGCACGTAGATTGAAGCAATATTTTCCTGCTACTAAAATTTCGCGATGGGTTTTGCACTAGTTTTCAAAAGAAATTGATTTAAAAAAATTGTTTATTTTGAAGGTTACAGACAAGTATTATAACTAACTTGAAGTTGGTTTGCTACTTGCAATAAAAGTCAAATTCAAAATAAAACGATTTTTTTAAAGTCAGTTTAAAACAAACCAACTTCAAGTCAGCTATAATACTTGTCATTAACCTTCAAAATAAACAATTTTTTTAAATCAATTTCTTTTGAAACTAGTGCAAAACCCATCGCGAAATTTTAGTAGCAGGAAAATATTGCTTCAATCTACGTGCTCCAAAAATTTGGCATAAATCGGGTTGAACGATTTTTTTCCAACGAAGTTACAAACATTCAAAATCCCGATAAAATGAAGAATGGTTTATTTTTAAGGTAAATTTTTTTATATTTCTCAGTTGATAATCAAAAAAGTATTTAAATAATAATAAAGTGTATTTAAAATACTTATTATTTAAATAATTCTGATTTACGAAAATTAAATTACTTTGTCAAAAAAAATTATTAAATATGATCGATTTTTGACATTTCATACAGAAACTTAAATAACATATTTTACAGTTTATTATAAATTATTTGATACTTTTATCAAGTTCAAATCACAAATTAAGTCTTTAAAAATAAATATCAATCGCTTTTTTTATATTTCTTAAAGAGATTACTCCTTTTTTAAATATTTTGTAATGCCTGTCAATGTAACCTTTTTTCATGTACTCTCAATTTATAATATCTTTTTTTATATGAAATGACATTATTTTTTACAAATCATTGTGCATTTCGTAATCCCAAAACATATAAGAATATTTTCCCAAAATATTGAAATTTTTTATAAAGATCAAAAATACATTAGGCGAAATAAAATGGTTTGACCCGTTAACTAATTTTTAATATTTAATTAAATTAAAGACAAGTATTGTTATTTACCATATTTTTGGGACGTAACAATAATAGGTTTTTTGCAAGTTAAAATCTTAGACTTTCTGAAGTAATAAAAATTTAAAGATGGTCATAACCCCTACAGCACCGAAAATTTATTAAATATTTACTTGGAATGTTTGGAATATGTAAATGCAAAGTTTAGTGTAAATTGTGTAAAGATTTAAATGTCCCAATTAAATAATAAATGTTTAGTTCTTTGCTATAATACAGTCAAACTTATTTAAGTTTAATTAAAACATATTTTTTGGTTCATTTAATGAAGTAATACTCGATAATAGGTTTAATTCAAACATAAGTTATGGTTGATTTTAAATTATTTATAATCAAGTTTTAAATTTGAATCAAAAAGAAAAATTTTAAACATATTGTTTGTTAAAACTAAAACAGAATATATATTTGAATTAAATATAATTATTCAAACAAATAATACTTTTAAATCGAAGTAGATTAAGTTTACAAATTAGTTTTAATTAAACAAAATCATCCAAAATTATTTTTGTATTTTCCTATATTACATTGAGAAACAGACCAAGTTTTAGGGTCCCTCTCAGTCGTACAAATCTTGGCAGTAATTCTCCTCTGACACGAATTTGTCGTGAGGCTAACAATGCGAGTGACTTAGATTTTTTTGACAATTTGTATATCACGATTCAAGCGAAGCCTCTTTATTTATGTTCAAGACGTCGATTGAATTTGTATAATTGAATTTGTAATATTGTAAGTAGTGACACGAATTGATGTTTCTTTTTTTTATTCTGCCATATTTTATATTCTTTTTTTTCTCTTAATAAAGGGTAAATTTTGTAACCCCGTTTATATGAAATAAATAAATAAATAAATTTCATTTTAGTATACTGTTTTCTCATTGTTGTATGAACATTTATTTAATCGAGACATTTAAATCTTTACACAATTTTTACTAAACTTTGTATTTAAATACTCCAAACATTGCAAGTAAATATTTAAGGAGATTCTCTCGCAAATAGAAATAACAGACAGTTTTTTATAAAACTTGGTATACTGCTAGATATTGACTTACAAAAGATGTAGTTAAATTTTTAGAGACTTCGGGTACTTATGACAAATGTTATGGATGATTTTATTTTTTTACATTTTACATGCTGTCTTATGGGAAATTGTACTTTTATGATATTCAATCTCATATTGTGAGAAAATTAGCATTTAGTTATTTACACTGTCCCGCTTCGTATGCATGAAAAATAGCAAATTTCATGCCTGCGAGGTGAAAAATAATTTCATGTGATTAAAAAATAATTCATTTTCACTACCAGTTGCTCAATCTACTATTTTTTACTTGCCCGTAAATAGAATATACGAAATAATACTACATAATATAATGTACATTTAAAACTAATAAATGTGACGCGCTCCCAAAAAAGAACCTAAGAAGCAAGATTTTTTAACTTAGATTTATAATTTTTGGAGTAAAAATGCAGAAAGAGAAGCAATTACAATTACAAATTAATGATGTTGAAGTTTTCATTACATAAAAAATATTCAATAAAAACTGATTTAAAATTTAAATAATTAAAAAGGTACCAATATAATTCGTTTGCTTCTTAGATACCTTTGATGGGAACTCGAGACAAATAAGTATTTATTTTTACCTGCTGCATTTTTTCAAAGTCGAGGCAAGGTCTCGGTAATCTATGAGGAGGCCGATGACGTTTTCTTGGACTACATGTACCTGTGACATCGACATCATTGTCTGTGTAATGATGATGATAATGATGGTGTAAATGATGATGATGCTCTAAATGTGAATGAAAATGAGAATGTGGTCTTGGTCGTGACCTTGGTCGAGGCGGAGGTTTGGATTCAGTTGATGATGCATGAAAAAGTTTTGGCGGAGGCGACAGCGACCGTCCTGGCTTGTGCGCATCCACAGGTGGTGAAGTACGAAACTGTACCGGTTGCGATATCATGTTTCCACTTCCGCTTCTACTACCAAGAAGTCCTTGAACCTATTGAAAGTTTAACATGGTTAATTTGTTGTTCCAAGTAGCATATATACGTTATTTACAGACTCTAAAGTGTACATAAAAATATGAGAATGGGACAAAGGCTAAAAGTTTACATTCATCAATTTATATTTTTGAAAGTAAATAATCAATTTGTGCAGTTACTATTTATAATAATTTTAAAAAAATCGTAAACAAATTTTAATGGTTGCTATTTAATATATGTTATTCATATTTCGAGTCTTGTTTGAAAGATCATTTCATTGCGCAACTTTTTCCCAGAGACACCTATACTTTATCTTTTATTGTTTAGTTGCTGTGTTAACTTTAAAAAATTTTGCAAACGGTCCGGTTTGCCCCACTCCCTGGGGTAAACCGGACCGTTTGGTTTTTTATTTATAATATTGCATTTACATAATCTACAATAATAAAAAACATAAAGAATCATGTAAACAATGGTTGTAGTAATGAAAATAATAATACGGGATTGAATTTTAATTAAATAAATATTTTTTTTAATAAAAAAATAAAAATGTTTGTCATTATCAAAGAAACAATATTAAAGGGTCCAATTCTCATTGGAAGACAGTTATTTTTCATTGTAAGTAAATATTTTAATGAAAGAAACATTTTATTTAAAAATAATTTTTATGAAACTTTAATTCAATGGAAATACCCTATGGCCGGTTTCCCCCACCGAAAACGGTCTGGTTTGCCCCACAGGCCCATTTTGAGAATAAATGTTTGTCAAAAAGAAACGCTTTGCAAATTCATCAAAGTTTTTGGTGGTAAATATTCCTGAGGTGTGTACCTTCAAAACCTAAGACCTAATATTTGGAAACATTACACGATTTTCTCAGAATTTCCTTAAAAAAAAATTCGTAAAAGTGTAGAAAAAAACTAAAAAAAAACTTTTGCTTCCTTCGTCGCACAAACGCAAGCTAAAACTGTCAGATTGAAAAAATAAGGTATACTAAACATGGTTGTTTTAAATTTGTAAACAACACTTTTTCCAATTTCGCCATTCCGGAAATATTGAGAGGAGTCCGGTTTGCCCCACTCTCCCTATGTATTTTTTAATCGACATATTTTGAAAGAAAACCAAAGTTTTATTTATTGGACTAAAATTAACTTTTATAAAAAATTAAAATTCGTAAACGTGATATTTAAAGATAAAAATTTGTTCTATTTAGTTAATATGGTATACCTTAAAAGAGAAGCTTTTTGCAATTATAATATAATGCGAGTTTTAATAACCATAGACAGAAAATGCAGTTTATTAAATGGCTGACTAGTGTAGTCTGCCTCTACTACTTGAGGAAGTCGAGTCGATCAGGGGGAGAAGGGTACTGTGAAAACATGTTTTAGAAATGTCGTTTATCAGAAAAGTGAGTTTCAGGATTAATTCAGGAGATTTAAATGGTCTCAAAGTTTTAGATTTTAAAAAATATCTAAAACTGCTACTTTTCATATTCAATTTTTCAATTTATATTTTTTAAAAATATATGGTTATTCTATTAAAACTACTTTATTTTATACTCAAGAGTAAGAATTTAAGTTGCGCCAAATTAATTGTTGAAAATATTAAAGTCTTTCTTCTTTGAATTTTACTCGGGACAATATTTAAAAGTTGAATATTTATAAATACAATAATATTCCTCCTTTTTATAAATAATATATGGGAAAATTAAACATCAGACCCTTAACTTTATTTTAATGTGCATAAAAAATTTTTTAGAACATTTTTAATGTATAAAAACATAATTAATCGTCGTGAAGTAATTTTAACTTAAAACTAAAGACATTGTACTTTCTGGTGCTATTTTTAAACAATTTCTAAGAGTTTGAAATAAACCATAAAAATTTAGTTCTCTTATGGAAGTCCTATTGGAGACATGTTAAAAGGACTTCGAAGATGAAATTATTTTAGCTATTGCATAAAGTCAGTTGAATAAAGTTGTTTAATTTCTTTTTTTTAATGATAAGTAAGTGCTAAATGTTTACTATGAAAATGGTTAATAATCATTGGAGAGTAGATTTTATAAAATTTATCGAGACATCAAAAATTTCATTTTCAGAAGAATCAGCCATAATTAGAACATTCAAGTCATGTCTAAATTAAAAAATTTTAATCTTTAAACTTTGTTCAAAATCATGAACAAAAAGCAACTATAGTAACAAAAGACTTTGACAATCGTAATACTAATAAAGATATAACATCCTTTTTTTAGAACAAAGAGAAGATAACATATGGAAAAGGAAAATTACATGTTAACATTTTTAAAGAACAACGAATCAAACTTACATGTAGTCTATTTAGATTATTCTATTTAGATTATTATTTATATTATTATTATTATTTTACACTTCTTGGCGCCTCTTTCGAGAAATTAAACGAATTTTCCCGAAAGAAGTCAAAGCTATTTTCAACTATCGCTTTCCTACTTAAGGTAAGTTTTATATGAAAATCTCAATCCTTTCAAGGTTAATTTAAAGTAAAGGGTAAATTTAAAGGGAACCCAGGTATAAGTTGGGTCTTTTATTCGATGGTTATCTGAGCAAAATATCAACATTTTTAAAGTAAATTTGTACTAAATTAAAAAAATGTTAATGTTTTAAAGAGATAGAAATAGAAAAACAGATTATAAATTACCTCTTCATCACTGGAACCAGAGGCAGCATCTTTCCCGGTTCTACTAACAGGTGCTGAGCAAGAAGCGACTATTGCCTCGCAATGTTGATGTTGTGATTGGCACTGAGTTTGACTAGTATTACAGTTAACTTCAGACCACTTCCGCTTTTCGCGGGCAGTTGCCGTCCGATAACGCTGTGGATTAACAACTTTCGGACCATTTATTACTTCAAGCTCCTCCTCCGAACTATGTTGATCATTACAATTTAGGTACAGAAGAAGATCCTTTTGAGATTCTTGTGTCTTGGGGGTTTGTATGATATTCTTCTGATTCGATTTCTTCTCACTCTCCAATTCTTCATCATCATACTTTTGCCTGTCCTTAAGTATCGGCGTTGGAGCTGCGAAATCGGTATCCGAAAAGACAAGATTCTCCATGAGTCTTGGACTTTCCAGACTCTCCATCGCTGCAACAATTCAAATAAAAGAAACGTTAAAAATAAGTCGTTGCTATTCCATAGTTTCATTAAAATACTTGCGGTGCTGAGAATTGAAGATAAATATAGTAAAATTTGATAGTATTCGATAATACTTTTATAATATTTTCAATGCTAGATATGACAGGGTATAAATAATAAGAGAAAATCGTAGAGGTACATTTGCATTTTTTGTGTAAGTATTAAAACCAAATTAAAGGGAGCACGTCGAAAGGTTGTATAATCGAGTTACGTGCTCGAATGTGAATATCACTTGAACGTGTTAGTTTGACTCATAAATTAAATTTCCACATCCGAAAATATTAAGAATCTAGATCAATGCCAGATCTAACTATATCGGATATTCTTGTGTAGAAAACTCTTATGGCGCTGGCCTGATTCGGACCAGACCGTTTACTTTTCGGTCCATAATGGCTGACCGAAAGTGTAACGCTACGCGGAAAAGAAGTGCATGGAATTTTCATTGATTCAGTGCTTGACTTTAAATAGAACTTAAAGTTCTATAAGAATTCTAAAATTTTAAATATTATTTAACCCTCCTGAGCATGAGTTTCTACCAGAACAGTGGTTACCAAATGCATATTTTTTTCAAAACAATAAATTTTCCTGCAAATTGGTATCTGGAGGTTTTCATGGACGCTGATTACGAATTTGAAGTCCGTTTTCAAAAATTCAAAATAGCGGATCTAATATGGAGGACGAAATTTGAAAAAATTACACTGTCACAAAAAAAAATTGATGATCTAAGCTTTAGGCCAGACCATGACTATTTTATGGATATGGGTCTTGTAGTGCACATTACAAGCTTTAAATTAAGACATTGTGGGAGTCTCTAACACGTCAGGTTAAATAGAAAAAAATGTTCAAAACCCTCAAAAACACGTTTTCAGGGTCTTTACCCCCACTTGTCTCAAAATCCTGACGTGATAAGCAATTTTGAAAGTCGGAATCGTGTTCAGCGTCCAAAAATATATCGAAAACCATTCGGATATCTCATAAAAAAAGTAAGTCTTTTTTTGTTGACCTATGATAATCAGCGACCCCGTAAGCTTCCAGATACCAAATTGGAGGAAAATTTTGAATTTTTGAAAACGGACTTAAGATTCTTAATCAGCGACCTCGAAAACCCCAAGATACCAAATTGCAGTAAAATTTAATAATTTCTTTAAAATTCGTCCGCCATATTGGATCTGCCATTTTAAATTTTGCAATTCAAAATCCATATAAGTATTCAGTAATCCAAAAAACCCTTACATACTTTTTATATAAAAATCCAAAAGTTTTTTTAAATTCGTCCGCTTTTGAAATTAATAATTTAAGCTTATTTTTCTAATTTTTACACTAATTTTATTTATTAATTTTTGATTTTTTAAATTTTGAGAAAAAAGTTATAACTTTTGTTCTTCTTAATATTTTTCAATCGGATATGACTAAGATTTTAAGTTAGTCTAATAGTTAAGAAACTGACAAGTTTCGTTTTAATCGGTCAAGCCGCTTTTGTGTTATTCCCGGACAAAATATTGCGGACAGACAAAAATAATTTTTTTATTTGCATTTTTGGAATTCTTACTACTCGAAAAGAAAAACTAAACATGAATTTACAAATTCTAAGCAATGTACAGACAAAAGTCTGATTTTATTCATATAGATTTTGGATAACTTCAAAAGGGTTACGGACACTCATGGCGCTCACAAGTAACACTACCCAAGTGTGAAACTGGGATCGACTTTTACTTGAGACCATTTTTTAGAGAATCGAAATATATTTCATACGTATTTTTCTATTTTGTCAGTCATGCTATTTTAGGAGTTGAAAAAGGGGGTTAAAAATAAAAAAAATCCTATTTTACTGTAAAACAGTTTTTTTCCATTCAGAGGATTCGGTTGAAATTCGATACTCGAGGGTTTTCGGGGTCGCTGATTACGAATATGAAGTCCGATTTACAAACTTCAAAATTTGGAAACGATTCATTAAGTTTTTCAAGAGTTATCGTGTGAACAACATTTCCGTCTACAGACGGGCAGACGACAGTCAGACAGACGCACTCGCAGGATCATGTTTTTCAGTAGGTTCACAAAACGTAAAGATTTCATAAAATTAGCAAAGTCAAAATTCGACCAAAACTAATACTTGCTTCTCATGTGATGAGAATGTAAAAATGTTACACTTTGAATAACTACAAAGCTTCCTATCCATGAGGAAGCAAAAACGTTGCAACTTACAATAAGACTTCCTTCTTCTCTTAAAATTTGATTTCCTTTTTACAGTGCAATTATAATTTACTCTTCAAATATTCTGATCTGCAAGTTTTCAATAAAGTGGCTAAAATATTACTATAGTATAAAAATATTCAAACCTTTAAATTAAGAAAGTATAATTCTACAAGACATTGTGAACAATGTCTTGTATTGAGATTCAGTTCGCAGCTTCTCTGCTTCTGGGATTTGATTTGTCTCTTCCTTGTTCTTGAAAGAGCATTGTATGTTTTCTTATTTTCATTCATTTTTTCAACTCATATTTTAAATTACTCATTAAAAGTAAATTCAAAACAAGTCTCTAGCGTATATACTTTCAAGCTGACTCTGCCTCGTGACCCAGCCATCAGCTGATCGATACACGTCAACCTACGGAATGTACTATCTTTCTTCAAAACATTCTACCAAAATTTTTAATTTTACATGTCTTAAGCTTATTGTGTCTGATTTGAAAGCTGACTTTGTTGTGTTTTAGATACTTCAGTTGCATTATATCTAAATAAATTCTTATTGAAATTATTTATATTTTGTATTATCAGATATCACAGAACGTTTACTTTTGAAATAGGGTAAGTCCAGGGAAGATGACCAATTTATATATTTTTATAGAATTTGTAAAAAAATATTACTTATTATGGGTTATTCTTTATCCTTTTAAGACTAAAAATTAATGTAAACAATAAATTGTTTAAAAATAATGAAAAAGTAAGTGTAATCGTTAAAAAATTTTGAGAAACTCAGGTTTCATATTGTTATCGAAAAAATTAGTCGCTGGAATTTTCCTCGACTTTATAGAAGATTCTCGGGTTCAGTGGAAAGTGTTTAAGAAAATCATATTAACAGTTTTTGAAGAAATAGATAACAGTTGAAGAAAATTTTGAAAAAGTGTTCTAAACTCTCCGCGACAGTCGAGGAAAATTGCAAACCTGAATTTACTCTACAGTGATCTAATGTTTCATCGACAGTCGCAGAAAATGAGAAAACCCGACAGACCAATAAAAAATATAAAAAATCTCAATTCTACCTTATTTCTACATGTACACACAATCACAACATTGAATATACTGCCAGAGACTTGACTTATGTTGTCAAGTAAAACTCGCTATCAACTCGAAAGAAAGTACTGTATCAATAACGAATAAAATAGGTGAAAATTGCGAAAAATTGAAACTTTGGTAACGTGTCAGTGAAACGATCATAACTTTTAAATAAAAAATACAAAAACTTTTATATTAATTAGTAGAGAATCATATTTTGAAATGTATGTATAAAAATGCATGTTATTTAAGATCTTTTACATAGACCCGGCAAATGTCCTAGTTTCAAGTGGAGTAACTAAAAATTACCATTAGTAAGAACAAGACGGACATATTTCTGTCCTTCCGTTACAAATGGAATTCTTTAGTTACTCCAATTGAAACCAGGACCCTTGCCGGATCTAGGTAAATTATCTTAGATTTTTTATTTAAAAATTATGAATGTTTTAAAAAGACTGTTACTTCAGACTTTTCTGTTTGTGACCGTATGGAACATAGAAATTTTTTTAAATATCTGACTATAAGTGATTGACGAAAAATGTATTTTCATAACACATGCATGGAAAACGTATAGTTTTCTATTGGTGAAAACTGTTTAGAAAGTGTCACATTTCCGAAGACTGAAAGAAACTTCCACTGTTCAACCAATAAGAATTTAAAGTTACATTGTCGTACTGTTGTCCACCAATGGGAATTCGTATTTACATTGTCGCACTACTTTCTTTCACAGTTTTTACGAACACACACGAATGTTAATACGAATTCGAAACATACCGAATGAATGACACGATACGGTGACGCCATTTTTTGTTTTTATATAATTGTTCTGTTGTCAAAGTCTTTCTTACCTAAATAAAATGAACAACAATAAATGTTACAAGATACATTAGACGTTTCTATGCATTTGCTATGAAATAGTACATTACAATACAAGTTTGGAATATTTGGAATAGAATTTGACAAGTTTTTCTGATCAGTGGTGGGACAGTTTTTCTAGGTGGAATCTTAAATAATTCTTCAAATCAGTGACTGGCCATGTCTGGAAAGAAATTCTTATCACGATTATGTTCAGATGATAATTCTGTTATGTAACTATTAAGCTTATTGACGATTCGTTAGAATATCGTTAGAATATAGAAGTTTTTGTTTAATTTATTACTAATCACTAAGTTATTATTAGGTATTATTTATTTTATTCGTATATACATCTGTCTTAAGCCAACAATCTTGGCTATACAAGTGTTTTACACAGTAGAATTTCTTTACAATTCTTATGCGTCCCACAGAGGTCACCCATCCAAGTACTAACCGCACTCAAACGATGCTTAACCTCTGTGATCGCAAGCCACGGAATTCCGCCAACCGAGAAATACCATCGGTTTTATGCGTTTCTATATATATTTATTACAATCAAAAAATTATTATTGTAATGCATTTTTGTAAGAGTTATGGAGGGGGAAAGGAAAATCAAAAATTTGTTTTTTCTCGAAAACCACTGGATAGATTTTAATGAAATTTATACGTGTTTTATAAATTAATAAGAGGAATTTAAAAAAAAATTTATTTGCCCACAAAAAACATTCCGGCTGAAGCACAATGTATCCAGTAACTGTTTATTTTTAAATTTGCTTGAAATTTAGTAAGTATGTGTTTTTGGGGTCACTCATTACGAATGTA